TCATCTTTATATCAAATACAGGAACACGCCTAGCAAACAGAGTAAAGGGATCACTTCAATGACATTCCAATGAATACTTACTGAGTGCCTATTTACATGGAAACAAGGAAACAGAAAAGAAGGATTACTTTCATGAAATTCCATCAATCATTTGTTCAATAACTATTAAGTGGCTATTAAGTGACAGGTATAGTTTCAGGCACTGGCAAGTCAGCAGTGAATAAATTAGACAAGGTCTCTGCTTTCAAACATTCTTGTGAACAAGCAGATAATGTTACTCATTAGGTAAGGAACAGGAAAGCCTGATTAACTTAGAGAACATAAGTATGACTTTTGCATGGGTGGCAAACTAAAACTGTTTATGATTTGGTGGGAGATCACCAAATCTCAAGAGCCTTTTGGATACAAACTAAACAGGCTTGTTAATTCATATGGACTGTGGATAAAAAGTATATGTAGCATTGAAAGGAGCTATAAGGGACATGATCTGTTTCAAATTTAAGTGCGGAAAAGCACAAGAAAGAATACATTACATTTGTTCTGCCTGATCCCAATAGGCAGAACTAGGAACAATAGGCAGAAACCACAGGGAAGTAAGTTAATCACCTATTTCTCCTCAGGATATGTACATGCGTGTCCTGGAAGTCATACACTTGTCACAAATGAATGAATCGCACTATGTAGCTGGAGAGCAGCTTGGATGAACAGCAGTGACAGCTCCTACCCTGAGAGTTGTGAACTGCATTACCTGCGGGAACCTGACAATGATGTAGTGGGGGATGCCCATCACATTGTGCACATAGTCAAACGTCTCGGTGAGTTTCCTTTTATTTGCAGTTAACATCTTTGGGATTCTGGTGATCATATGTTGAACCTCATTACGTTTAAAACCAAATTCAAGGTGATAAACCTAAAAAAAAAAAAAAGTAGAGTTGCTATGAATCATGAATAGAAATAGTCATTTTGGTACTAGGCCAGAGGACATACTGATTCCTTTAAGTTTAAAATATTTTAAAATCTGAAAGATAGCTATGCCAATGCCCTCAAGGGATCTGACTTCCTGCTTCTGGGGTAACCTAATTTTGAAGCCTTCTCCTGAGAATGAGCTACTCACAAGCATGGTTACCATGAAGATAACCAAGTGGAGCTATCATAAATTATGAGACAGAAAAATGATGGGCATGGTAGGACGGGTTAAGTTATCTGTATGGGCCCTACACCAAACAGACCAGCAGTAAAACTTTCCTAGTGCCGTTTGAGCCTCTACTCCCAATGTAACCCAAACACAAGCTATCTGAAAAACTACATGTCAAAATGCCATGCAGAGATGATAAAACTAAACACCTAAACATGGGGTAGGTCCATAGTATCCTATGCTTCCCACCACTCCATTGCTCTCATCATCAGTATTTTA